ATAAAAGGAGATTGATTTTTTTTTTCTAGAAGGAAGTGGGTTACTTTAATATAATATCCCTAAGAAAAAACATGTTTGAATACAATTCTGTGTATTTTGCCTGGAGCAGCAGTTTTTAGGTTTCGGATTCTGCATATCTAAGCAGTGAAGACAGGAATAGGTCTGTCAAGTCAAATTCAGTCGGGATCCTGTAGTGGATCCTGTCGTTAGCCTCTGCCAACCCCTAGTGTATCAATCTCCTTTGATGGAGACAATGCTCAAGTAATTCATACCATCTGTGGTCACTGTACACTATTCCTTAATTATCAGCATGCAGTACAGCTAATTACCACTTGAGGCAGTGACCCGGTCTTGCCATCATTTTAGTGGCTGTAACCTTTTCAAACCAACTTTTGGCAGTTCATTTCGTCGTAGTTTTGAAACTTGCATTCTCAGGTGCCAGCCTGTGGTATGGGAACAGATGGCATCTGTTTTTAGTCTTGAAGTCCCTGAAATGGATGATAATTCTGTGATGGGGACTGAAAGTATGAAGGTGTTGTCACACTGTAAATATTTTTAGGAACACAAATACAACCGGCGGGCCAATTTGTCTCACTAGAGACAGAACAGACAAATAAAGCGCCAACGGTCTGGCTGCGACATTTCTTTTTTGGAGGGAGAGTGACCTGGCAAATGATCTAATGCAACATCTCTGGGACTGAACCTGCTGCTGCCACCTCTCTTCATCTGTAACCCCGAAAGAAATGTACAATAATGCCTTTTTCTCTTTCTGTCACTTCTCGCTTTGCTTTGGGGGATCCATTTTTCCTTCTTTTATTTTGTTGGTCCTGTTCTTTTGTATCTTTTCAAGTCCTCTCCAGTCAAAACCGAGATTAATTTAACATCATAAACCATCTGCTTGGGTTCCAGTAGGAATTGATTTACATGGCACTTAGAACTAAGTACATGGCACTTGGAACTAAGCCTCTCTGTGGCTTTTTCATCTAGTTGTGAATTTCACTTTGGGGGCCAAACGATCGCAATCTGATTCCATTTTTATTTATCTATTTGGACCATTCCCAATATGACTTTCACTGTAGGGCTTTAGGTTACCGTAATACTCACCTTGACGTGTATGAAAACTTAGGTACTGTAGATCTGAAGAGGTTGATCCATACCATCATTTGGTATACCACAATATCCTTTTGCAAGCACAAAACAACCTTCTTTTTACTATTACGATTTAAGTTTTGTAGATGCTATTTGACAGTATCATAATTTCCAGAAATCTCTTGTGATATAGGTAGTGGATTACAACTCACAAAGATGAGAATAGAGGCTCGCTATCTTAGTCCAACAACATTCAAGGTTTAACACTCTGTACTTGAGTCTTGGTAACCTTGTACAGCAATAGCTTGCAATGGTCGTATTTATGAGTTGTGCTTCACTTTTGCAGTTTAAATGTAATAATCATCTGAGAAAGGGACTCTGAAGGTCTGGAGTCATACATCAGAAATATTGTAGTTTGAGATAATGGATGATATAAAAATGCAATTCTTTTCTAAATAAATGTAAAATAGAACACTAAAAACTAAAATCAGTCATTTTAAATGGTACAAGTGAATGTAGGCATCAAAACAGTATAATGTACAGTATGAAAAACAATATTAATTTTGAGATCGGCTAAAGCCTTTATTTACAGTGTTAAAAGTCTTTTTGATGATTAAATTTACACGCAGAGTTAAATATCCTATATTTTCTATGTATATCTCTAATAACATTTTATTGTGAATCTCTAGTAATATTGTTGTCATCATGGTGTGGATAGTCTCCCGCTGACTCTCAGTCTCATAGAAATAATCCAATACCACTTACACAGCAAATCCTCTCCTTGACTACTGTGATAAAAATCCACAATTATTGCCTGTCTTATTAAAGCGCATTGTTGTGAATCTGTTTTCTCCACATTGTACCAAACACATTTGCATTCACAAGCCCGGGCTATTCACTGTCCGAGCAGAGGGAGGCCCTTTTATTCCTCTGTGATTGGATTGCACCTCCCTGCATGCATGAGGATGGAAAGCGGGCTGCTGCCTGCCTGTGTTAACAGCCAAATGTGCTCACGGCTCTGCACCGCAAGCATGAGCACCTGACGGCCTGCTATTTGATTGCTAATCATTTTCGAGCCTGTGCCTGGTCTTTTTGATTTGCTCTGCACACTGCGTTGGTTAAATGGAATCAATTAAATGCGTGCTTTTATTCGACGGCCACTTCCAGGAGATCAACTTCTTGATGTAGCAACACAACAAGATTAATTAAATCCAATAAAGAACTCAATTAACAAAAGGAAGGTAGCAGAGGAAGGGTCAGATGGATTTGTGTGTGCGCTTTGTTTAAAGAAACCGAAGTTATTTTGGAGTGTTTTGTTTCTTGTTGTCTGCGTCTGTAAATGAGCTTACTTTAAAGCACTTGTTGTGTTGCTTTATTATTTTTCATGTGTTCTGGGAATATGAGGGCAATTACAAGAGCCAAATGGTCGTCTATTCACTGAATATGCACACAATCATTATTCCACAAGCACCCTCAGGATGTATATTCCCAGGATAAGCTACTGTAGTGAAGTAGTTACTGACTAGTTTTCAATTAAAACACACCACTGGGTTACTTCTGTGTAACCACAAATTTTTCTCTGACACTTATAGTATATTGCCACAAACTTTGTTGTTACAGTTTTTCTCAGTCGTTTTGGTGCATTTCTCAAATCAGAAATTACATTCTCAAAACTACTTGTACAACTTCCACATCATCTAGTCATTTGTGCACATCATAAAAGCAGTTTCTCATTCTTTTGAACAAGCTGCGATTGCTTTGGTACATTCATGCAATTGATTATGTGCATTTATCTGCGGTTTCCTACATGATCAGTTGCTAATGTCATGTTGCTCAAAATGTATTATATAGCTTTCTGTGCAATAGTCTTACCCCTCAAAACATCTAGTCTTTAGTTCATCGTATAAGTCATTAAATGCAAAATGGTTGAACTGGTTGTCATAAAGTGTCAAGCACATTTTTTACACATTATAATTAGACTTTTTTGTAAATTTAGCATGAATTGTGCAAGTGAATCTTGACTTTCACTAATGAAGAGAATTGATAAACCATTTCTCTGAAATAGCTCAAAGGTTCATCTCATGAATCTTCAGTTGGAAAGCATATACTGTATAGACAGAGGACAACACAAGAGTTACAAATTCTAACAATGGACTTTCTTATTTTTTTTATTTTCATCTTTGTGCCCATATTTCTTTTTCCTTTTCTATATCACAATGACATTGTAATGTTTTTTTTTTTTTGGTCAGACCACTTGTAAAAGTGTAAGTGGAATTCTATCCAGTCTCTTTCAATCAATATCCCACATACCGTAATGAGTAAATTTGTACATTTTTAAATGGATATATGGCATACATAAGCATATGGCATACTGTTCAATACAGTAACTGTCATCCAAAATGCTGCCATAGTTTACTTTAGGTAATACTAACAAAGTGCACTGTTATATTGACAACATGACTAAGCATTTTGACTATCTTGTTTGTGAACAATGGCACAAGTACTTTTCATTCTGATGGCACTGATATGTTCATTGACATAAATACTTACTTTTGAGAGATGAACTAAAGATTTTGAGTAAGTTACAGGCTTTTGCAGGTAATCCATTGTGTGGTGCTGTTTGTACGAATTGTTTTGAGAAATGCACATACATTTTTGCAAATATTAAGGATGATTCGAGAAATGCACCAAAGCGACTGAGAAAAACTGTAATTTGAGTGCACTTAAGTGGAAGTCAAACCAAAGCAAACTTCTTTTTTTTTTTTTTTAAGCAAGCAGAGTTAATGTGAAACCACAGAAATGTAATGATTCATGTAGTTTAGAGTTTCAAACGTTCAAAACGTATTGAATCTTGTAACTTAATGATTCCTCACGAGGCACACAAGAGTCTTTACTCACCACTGATTTCAGTATGTTGTTGTTAGCATGTTGTTAAGCTAACACAACAATAACTGACTTGATTTGTAATGTTTACATGTAGCAATGTACTCTGTTCATCATACAAATAACATTCCTCAGATGAGGCACACAAGAGTCTTTACTCACCACTGATTTCTGTAAAATTTGCTTTTAGCATGTTGCTAAGCTAACACCACGAAAACTGACTTGATTTGGAAGGTTTTACATGTAGTAATCTACTCTGTATGTCATACAAATAGCGTTCATGAAGCACATTAGAGACTTCTCACCACTGATTTCAGTAGTTTGTTGTTAGCATGTTACTAAGCTATAGCAAACAGAAATACTGGGTACTGCATTTCAAATCAGCTAGATTGAACCATTTTTATAATCTTGTTTTCAATGAGTTTATCTCACTTCATCCTCCATCTTAGATGGATTGTTTTTTCCACTAGTCACAGTGCATTTTGGGATTGCTTACATTGCGAAGCATACATGTGGTCCTGTCTTAGAATTGTACTAAATAAAGTTATGCCTATAGTGCCTTAAAATGCAGCCTATGTAGTGTGCTTTCTAGGTTTTGGAACAGTGCTGAAGAACTCCTTAATCTCTGTCTTTATGGTTGATTTCATTTAATTTTCTTTCTTTTTTTTTTTTTTTTAAATAATAGTACTGAAATAGTCTAAAAAAATGATGCTGCATTCAACCAAAAAAATACAGACTCGGTGTTGTCTGCCAGGGAAGGAGAGGCCATCCCTGAGATCCAAGAAATACTATTAAAAACTGTTTACATAAGCTCTCTTCAGGTGAACAAGTGTGATGATAACATTTCATGGATGTAAAAAAAGGGACAAGAATGTTTCCCCTCATTTCAGAAATTTGTAACTTTCTCTGACACTTTCATCTACAGTTTGCTATTGAATATTTCAATTGCTTTCAATCTTTTTTTAAGGTTTTAAAATTGCGCTGCAATGCACACAAACACTCATTCGATTCTTTTTTTCTTTCTGCAGGTTTTTTGAGCACAGGAGACCAGGCAGCCAAGGGAAACTATGGACTTCTTGATCAAATCCAGGCCCTGCGCTGGATGAGTGAAAACATTGCATTCTTTGGGGGTGACCCTTTACGCATTACTGTTTTTGGGTCTGGGGCTGGGGCCTCGTGTGTCAACCTGCTGACTCTTTCCCATTATTCTGAAGGTAACCGTTGGAGCAATTCAACCAAAGGTACAATGCAGACGTTTTAACTTTTGACAATTTTTGTCTGCATGCTATAGCTGTTTGTGTTATGGGCTCATTTAAAAATTCTGGTCTCTGTGCTTTTTTTGTTGTTTTGAACTACCTGCATTTGCATTTGAAAATCGGATTGCAACCTTAGTTATGAAAAACCTGTGACATTTATTCAGAATATTACAGTAACAGGTTGCAAAAAAACTGCACTGATCACTAGGGCTGGGCTATATACCAAATGTTCACAATATATTTTTGTAACACAAAATACTGCCTTATACTCTATAAATTAGTTCGAAAGAATGCTCAGTTTCACAGAGCTCAAGTGTGTAATGCAAAAATCCTAAAAGCAACAGCGTTGCTGAGAAGTTGCACAGCAGTTCCTTCATCGGCCCAGCATTTGCCAAGCTAATTTTTCATCATGCTTTAGGCTGCTAACTCACTCAGTTTGAACTGATATCACTTGTTTATGGAAATTAAATCTCCCTAGGTCGTTTCATGTACCCATCTTTATTTAGTTGAGTCCATATACATCACCAGGCATGCCATGAGCACACTGTCCAAATACAGCATTCACCTTCCATTGGCACAAAAAGGGTAAATACATTAATTCCGTTTTGAGTCTCTCTGCTTGGAAGATTGCTTTGTGAAGAGGTCTTCTGGCACAGACCTGCTTTAAGGTTGTCAGTATCATTCAAATGAACCCAGAGACACCTTTGGAAGAGACTTTAGTGTGACATGTGATTGCTTTGCCCTGAAGCAAACCGTGCACTGCTTAATCTTGAATAATTTTCATATATTTTCCTTTTTTTTTTTTTTTTTTTTTTTTTTTAGCAGTATATTCTTCATTCACAAATATATTAATCGGTTCATACAAAATTGTCACCATTCTGTTGAATTGCGAACTGAAATATCCCCTTATCTCCATTTCATTTCCATGTGTGTTTTTATAGTTTCTTTCTCCTTTAGTAAGAACATGTTTTTACTCATAACTGCACTGCTAAGACTGAGCTCCCAGGGGTTGTCATGGTAACAGAGTAACTCAATTTTCTTCTCTCTTTTTTCTGTCAGTCTTTCTCTCTCTTTCACACACACACTTTCTCTCCTGCTCACTCACTTGCTTTTTTGTCTTGATGTTTGTGCATGATATCTGCTTCTCTTCAATGGTGTGGGTCAATTTTCTTGACGTCTATATGTGAAAGGGGTTTACAGAGTGCAAACAGCTAATTACGGTTAATGCGCTGTAATAAAATTCAAGAAATAGATTTAAAGTCACATTTCCCCCTAAAATTACATGAAAAAAACTGAAATATTGATCAGCTCTGTGTATAATTCAAGTTCATCAGCATTCGTATGTTGACTTGCATGGCCTCTTTTCCCAAACCATTTAAGATTTGCATAAAAACAGCTAAACCGAGATGAGTTCATTTGCTCCAGCTTGCATACTGAGGAGCACTCTAAATAGCTTACGGTGGGGTCCAAAGGTCTGAGCGCACATTGAAAATCTGCTATTTTTTTCTCATTTAAACGTGAATTTTAAACAAGTTTAGTATTTGTTTTTTTTTAACAAAGCATGAAGTTTTTTAAACATTTTATTTAATATTCTGTTTAATATTATTTAAAAATGTGCACTATTTTTATGGCCATGTAAAATTATGTTAATTTTTTCACAAAAATGCTATGCCCCTAATATACTTTGTAATAAACACGTATTTAATAAATAGAAGCAAATGGTCTCTAGTGTTCTCAGATGCGTGGACCGTACTGTAGCATGCTACGGTGGTTCGGTGTTTCTGATTCTGTCTGGTTTTTCCTATACAGGTCTTTTCCAAAGGGCCATAGCCCAAAGTGGCACAGCCTTGTCCAGCTGGGCTGTCAGCTTTCAGCCGGCCAAGTATGCCCGCATGCTGGCCAAAAAGGTGGGGTGCAACCTCAAAGATACAGTGGAGATGGTAGAGTGCTTACAGAAAAAACACTACAAAGAACTAGTGGAGCAGGACATCCAGCCTGCTCGGTACCACATCGCCTTTGGACCCGTCATTGATGGTGATGTGATCCCCGACGACCCTCAGATCCTTATGGAACAAGGGGAATTCCTCAACTACGACATCATGCTGGGCGTCAACCAAGGCGAGGGGCTAAAGTTTGTGGAACTCATTGTAGACAACGAGAACGGAGTTCAAGCCAACGATTTTGACTATGCCGTGTCAAGTTTTGTGGATGATTTATATGGTTACCCCGAGGGGAAGGACATCCTGCGGGAGACCATTAAGTTTATGTATACTGACTGGGCTGACCGCCACAACCCGGAGACCAGAAGAAAGACCCTGCTGGCACTCTTCACAGATCATCAGTGGGTGGCACCAGCAGTGGCAACAGCAGACCTCCACTCCAGCTTTGGCTCGCCTACTTATTTCTACGCCTTCTACCATCACTGCCAGACAGAGCAGGTGCCACCCTGGGCTGATGCGGCACATGGCGATGAGATCCCATATGTGTTTGGGCTGCCCATGATTGGTCCAACTGAGCTTTTCCCCTGCAACTTCTCCAAAAATGATGTGATGCTTAGTGCAGTGGTAATGACCTACTGGACCAACTTTGCCAAGACCGGGTAAGTCTCTAGGCAACAGGGCATCATTTCTAATCAATTAGACATTTGGCAAACAATACAGCCATTAATTAGGATTCAGAAGTGATTTTGAATATGACTTTGTTTTTGTTGTAAGACCACCAATGCAACCATTCTATAATTCAGAATTTTTGCTATTTATTACCGTACAATACCCAGTTGTTGCCAGGAAACACTGCTACAGTGTTTCTGAGGTTTAATCATTGCTTAATTGTTTGTTAATGCATTCTCACTCCCAAATACTTGTTCAAATTCCCTAGGTTATGCTACATTAAATTTGCGCAACTGCTTTTTATGCAACAGCAATTTAGTTTGCTTCAATTTAGGTGTAATACAGTGAATAAAGTAATGCTGATGATCACTTAGAGTGAGTTTAGTGTTTATATGACATTGCTGCCTAGACATGTAATCATCTCACGGGAGGACAACAAATAAATTTGTGTGCAAATGTGTAATTTCTTCTCTCAGACTAATTCTCGTTAATTTTAAAAGCAGGTGCAGTTGTCAGGAGACCCTAATGAGCACTGAGAGAATATTAAGGGTCTCTAGGCACTCCCCTAATGTAATGGTTTGTGTGATATTTGTCCAATGGAGTGCTTGATTTTGGAGTGCCCATGTGTAATTCTGAGAGAGGAACTGTAGAAATTATCTTTTGTGAAAAAGGTACTGAAATGTTCCTTTTACCTTCCAGTGACCCCAACCAGCCAGTTCCACAGGACACCAAGTTCATCCACACTAAGCCTAACCGTTTTGAGGAAGTGGCCTGGACGCGTTACAACCAAAAGGACCAGCTGTACTTGCACATCGGCTTGAAGCCCCGTGTCAAGGAACATTACCGTGCCAATAAGGTCAACTTATGGCTGGAGCTGGTGCCTCATCTCCACAGCCTCAACGAGGTCACCCAGATCATTTCCACCACCACTAAGTTGCCTCCACCCGAGGTCACTCCCCGTACACCAAAGAAGATCCCACTCAACACCAAGAGGCCCTACCCTACACCGTTTCCCACTGAAACACTGAACCAGAACCAACCCTTCCTAGAGAATCAGCGGGACTACTCCACCGAACTAAGCGTCACCATCGCCGTTGGTGCCTCGTTGCTCTTCCTCAACATATTGGCATTTGCTGCACTCTACTACAAGAAGGATAAGCGAAGGCACGATGTCCACCGGCGTTGCAGCCCACAGAGGACCACAGCCAACGAGCTGCCCCATACGCAAGAAGAGGAGATCATGTCTCTACAAATGAAACACAGTGACTTGGAGCGCGAGTGCCGGGAGGCCATGCACCCGCACGAGGTGGTCCTGAGAACTGCCTGCCCGCCCGATTACACACTCGCCATGCGCCGATCGCCGGACGACATCCCTCTCATGACCCCAAACACCATCACCATGATACCCAACAGCATGCCAGGCCTCACCTCCTTACACCCCTTCAATAGTTACCCCAGTGGACAGAATAACACCCTGCCCCATCCACACCCTCATTCACACTCCACCACTAGAGTATAGCCACACACACACGGTCTCACACACAAACACCAACATACACACACATATACACTCCCACCGTTGTGGAGTACAAGTGTGACAACAAATGGAGGAGATGGCACTGGGTTGAGGAATATCTTTACTCCCGGTGCTCCGAGGAACAGTAAACAACAATGCTGATTTTTGTGCCTCGAGAGCAAAACCATCGTTTTATATTAAAGGCGAAAAACTAAAAGACAAAAAAAAAAAACTATTTCTGATGTAATGAAAAACAAACAGAGATGATTTTTTACCCTTATATTGTGACAAAACCAGGGCCATTTCCTGGGAACAACTATCAGTCTGGGATTCTTTGAGGAATGGTTTGATTCAGTTACCCAGAGAGGAAACAACGGAAGCACAGAATAGATGATGTGTGGGAGGCCCTTTGTAAACAAAAGGAAACATATTGTTTTCCCGGGGCACTGGATTGTAGATTACTCTCTTCAGAGCAGACGGGAGATGCTGTTTACCTAATTTAGGAATGTGTTCTCCTTCTGGTGGAGAATGTGGAATACTACAGGAAAAAGAAGAGAATGAGAAATCCTCAAGAATATGCACAATAGAGACATTCGCTGAATGTCTTTGAATTCTTTTTGTCAATTTATTTTTGGGGGAGCAATTTTATTGTATAGGACATATTTACATATCTAGATATGTACACAAAACACCCATGCTCTTTGAGCTCTGGCTGGGGGCATTGATACTGAGGAATCTGCCTCAAGAGCGTAGCGGGGAATTTATTGGCTTCCTGGCAGATACAGCTTCATCACACAAGTGCTGTATATACTCGCATACACACATGCCAGGACAAGCCTTGTAACTGAATGTAATGCAAGACTGAGGGCCATTTTCTTATAAACAGCAACCAAATTTCATTATGTGTTTATTTTCTACTGGCTGACCTAGAAAGAAGATCAAAACGGCTGCTGAGAACTACAGAGAGGTGTTGTGATGTAGATTATTTGTCATTTTGTCTTTCTTTCTGGTTAAATAGGATTTAATCTTCTGGAGCACAATAAATGATTTTATCAAGCTCAACTTACATCGGTCTTTCTTTACCACTGGTTTGCCAAAATGGTTTTATGATATACAGAATTTTGCCACTCAACATGTCAACACTCAAGTCTGACGTCTCGTGTTAAGTCACTAAAATTTGATTCAAATGTCTCTCATTGTTATGCGTGTTATTATTCAGGTAAATCGCTGTAAACAAACTAACTTGCTTAGTAATATTTTCATCAAACAGTTGATCTGCCATGACATTAGTTGAACTGAAGGAGAAATCTTTTATGCTAACATCCATTGTGTAGCTAAACATCTGTGTTCAAATGCTTGAATAGCATACAGTGCCATTTATTTGCACACACTGTCTACTTTGTTTTAACGCTTGACTTTAAAAAAGTAAATAAAATGTAAACCTCACAAACATACCAAATAAATTGTGGTGAAAAGCAGTTTAAACTAATCAGTTCACCATCTTGTGGGTTTCTAAGTAGGTTTTGGAGGATGTCACAGACTTCCGCAATCTGACATACTTTACTTATGTCAAATTGCACTGATTGTGCCAATAACATTGAGTTTTGTGAACAAGGCGGAATCAATAATGAGCCTAATTTTCCTAAAAAAAGAGAGTGTTCATGTGCAACAGAATGACAATGACAATTTATATATGGTGCAGCACTATTCCAGCAGCACATTTATTGTACCGCCTGGATTGTGAAAGGTTATTAGCGAATAAAACACAGGTTGTTGAAAATACCATGTTAAATGTGGATTAGCTGTCATTGGTACAAAGGCCCTGTCTAGTTAATGTAGCCTAAAACGTAAATAACGATCAAAACTTGCACTGCATGAGCAAATCCTTTTGCTTTAGAAATCTTGAATTTACGTCTTTTATTCTGTTTGACTGTATCTTGGTTTAGGAATTCAGGGCACCAAATCAAGCTGCTTTATTTCCTTATTTCATGTCCAGATCTCTGGTGTAACGATAGGGTGTCTTTTTCTCATTAGCAGTTCTGTTATCTTGAAATGCAGTTGTTCTGTGCTGAAAATTAAAGGCACAATCAGGACATTCAAACTGGAAAATTTTCCATGGTCTAATGAGTGAGAATATATGGACTTTTAGATATTTTAAAGAGTTTTTTTTTTTTTCTTTTTTCTTTTTTTTTTTTTTAAGTAAAAAGGATTATTTGAATGGCTGAATATAAGCCTTTCTTTGGGTGACATGGGGTATTTTTTAACTTAAAAAAAAAAAAAAAAATCTCTAAATGTTACCCAATTCATAATTAAA